ATCTCATCAGTTTATCAAGAGAAATATTGACATGATCTGATATACGTTAACACCTGATTTAACACACATGAATATATAACACAGTTACATTTGATTATACTTATGATCCTGTTCAATAATAAAAGGATGTTTATTTAAAACCCTTGTCTCCTGAAATTGTATGACCCTTTGGGGTGACAGCTCCTGAGTGTGTGGGATTTGATTTGGTATTAGTATAATACCTGGTGGCAGCGAAAAGGGCGTATTTACCTTTGTGGAGCCCAGAGGTATATAGGGCACAAAGGGGGATCGCCACATTTGGATATACCTTGTATATACTTACAATGACAATAAATTGATTTGATTGATTTGATTGATTGATTTGATGACATAGCCCATAGCTTCTCTGAATTACTCAAGCCCCTTCACCATGACAAGGCAGAAATCCGTGAAGGGGCCATATGCAGTTATACAGATTATAGCATTTAGAAAGGTACCAAAACACTCTTTAAATGTCCATTAAATTACTACTGTATGAGAATGTCAGCTCAAATACTGCCCAATTTTTGCCATATAATGGAAAAAACACCCGTATGCATTCAATCCAAATCCAGCCTGCCATTGCAACTAGTCAAATATGTGACATAGTCCTGAAGAAACTGCTGGACGTGGAAGGAGGAGACCTAGATGACTCTGTGTTGGGCTACTCACTCACTCTTTCCCTCTCCCACTTGTAGCTTCACCTACTTTATAGGGTTGTTCTAAGGACAACAAGAGCAAACCCATGTTCATTTTCAAGAGGTGAACACCAAGCAGATGTCTTTTTTACACGGTATGTATAAAATACCCACTGAAACTGCTGCAAGCTATGCCTGCAGCAGAGACACCATGAACATTTAAATCTAGTGAATGATATTGGCATGCACATGATAAAAATTAATGAAGAGATGAATTTTATGAATAAGAAATGCACCATTGAAATCTAACAATCATATAAATGAGCTTGTCAGCGCTCACCCATGTTTGTTCTACAAGTCAGGATCAGTAAGCGTTGAACATTGCTAGCAAAATGATATGATTATTGATCTTCACCCACTTTTGGTATTCATAATATGGTCTGCTAAGGTCCTGAGATACTCTTGGGGACAGAGGACCTGCCCAGCAGACTAATTTCCTGGACTACATCTTGTAAGCAAAATGACAGCGGGGTATCAAAAGGCTGGGGGAAATATGTTCAAAAACTGAACTGTGTCTAAAACCATGCAGGCAAATTGCTGACTGGAGCCTATACTAGGAAGCAGTCAAGCTACTTGTTACCACAACTTTGTTGTCTACCACTCTGTGTTGCTTGCTATAAAACATTATCCAGTTTTGGAGTCCAGGCTATCTAAAGAACTAAGCCTGCTAGAAATGTAAGATCTTCCTAAGAGGATCTTCTGCTCTCATTACCCTCAGATATACACTGTATCTGGTCGAAACACATGAGAGAACCTTCCAAGTGGCCACTCCCAAGCTGTGGGATCAGGGAGCTTAAGCTGTTTCCTTCCACTAGCAGGCAAAGCCCTTTTTATTCAGGCAGGTTTTGTCAGCTGACTGGCTGATGAGGAAGCTGCCCCTAACAGGGGATGTTGCACTTTTTCTTTTTTACTAATCTTTAAATCAGTTTTAATTCAACTATTGCTTTAATATGACAATTTGGTCAGTGTTTTGTTATGATATAAATTCCTTTTCGCTGTATCTGTGGTTTTTAATCATGTTATCAGCTACTTGGGGCACAAGTCCTGGGAGAAAAGTGGGACTATCAAATCAAATAAACAAAATGTTGCACTTCGTCAGCAATTTGTACATGGGGGAAACACAAGCACTTATAATACTGCATTTATAAAACTTTAACTCTACATTCGAAAGAACAGAAATGTAAATGTATTTTATTAAATAAGCAATGGAACGGGAGGATGTCACATGCTTCTGTTTCAAAAGCAATGTTCCCTATTGATTTTTACTGGAAGTTCATCTTAAAAATCAATTGAACTATTTAGACCAGGATGTGAAGAGAGCTTCACTTGCCATTTCCTGACCTTAAAAGCAAAACATCAGTAGTGCACGAGGCATGCTTAGGAGTAGATAAAAATATTTGAAGCAAATGACTGTAAATATAGAGCCTTTACTGAATACAGCACAGGAACTAGATGCTTCTGTGTATGTGTTGCCAATCTGACATTTTCAAATGACAAATGCAGTGTGTTTCTGAATGCAGCTGCTCTTTTTACCTTTTCCACCTATTTTCTAGAATTTGATAGGTTTCCATGGGACCTCCTTTAGTGTAATGTTTGAACAGCCTTCTCCATCTCTTGTTTTACTGTGGCACCTTACCAGTGGAACATACACACACCCCATCTGCACTGCCCCTAAACTCTACACTGCTTGATATATATGTTTTTAAAACCAGCTATTCCCTCACCTCTCTGGACAAATATTCAAAACTGCCCACTGAACAGTAACCCTGAGACATGTGCAAGATCATCTGAAGCAACCCACATCAAATTTAGCCATGCAAAATCCATCAAGTAACAGAAATTCTCACCCTGGATTTCTCTATGGCATACTAAGCTAAGTTAGAACCAGGCCACAACGTTTTATTACCTGGAGCAGAACAGCGAACGCAATCCCACTCCCACGCATTGCAACATCAAGGTACATAATATCTGAGCAACAACATTCACTTTTGTTCCTGAGGCAAACATTCCCACAAGCACTTCTTCCCCTCTACTAAGTAGTAAAAATACCCATATATTAAGTAACTAAAATTTTGTTGTCCTTTCCCGCACCCGAGCTGGAAAGCTGCCTGAGATGGCCATCTTAGTCCGCCTAAATGATTGGCCTGCCCGGCCATAAGGGCACCTTCAAAGAGATGTCTTCCAAGGTGAAATAATTCTCCACAGAACTATACTACAGAGACTGATTAAATGTTTACTGTAGCTGTCAGATGATCTAACCCTCAATACGATCATGCTGTTCACTGTGCATACATCTGTGCTTTGGGTTCTGTTAGTTGTAGCTGGTATCTCTTGCATCTTTCATGGGTAACACTGTCCTTTCTTTGGCAGTTCCCCTTTTTGAGCAAGAAGACATAAACTGCACTTGCAGGAAAGAAAAGATAAATCGATCAGGTGCAAATGCTGCTAATGTTATCTATCATGTGCTTCCGGCAACATTAGACAGCTACCCTATGGCTGTTTCACAATGGATGGTGAGCCCTCTGTTCACATACCACTTGCTAGTTTCACCACCATGCCCAAATATGCAGAAATAATTTGCTCATACATACTCATATTTATACAACTATTCATATTTCACAACACAAATCTTACCAGAAATCAGTCTAATTTCTTACCTTTTCTCTTCAAATAAGCTACTGTGTCTTTCATTACTGGAGGGATTAATTCACCTTGATTTTTAGCTTTGAGGCTGCTTGAGAGAAAAAAGTATAGCTCTGAGCAAGATTTAAATAAGACATAGAATGTCACAGCATAACAAGCTCATATAACAAGTGTGTTCATGAACTGATTGCTGCACTTTTGTGTACAGAAATTTTTAGCACCTCCAAACACTGTTTTAAAACAAAATTCATTTGTACACTCAGGTATAGCTCAGTGTGGCGTTCACCCTTATTATATTAAATAGGTCATGCATTATTCATGTTTTCTGCTGGTGTGGTTGAGAGGTGGTGCCACTAGAGAGGTTAAAAGGCGGAGCCAGAGAGGAAGAGTAGAGTTAGAGTTAGAGAGAGAGAGAGAGAGAGATGGGAGATCTGAGATCTGAGGTGTGATTAGTCTGAAAAGTGAATAGTAACTTGTGAGATTTAAATAGAAGATTGATGCTTGATGAACCTGAAGTAAATACTTATGAATTATTAAAGAAACATCTGTAATTAATAAACCTGGTTTAAGAAAAAGTGAAAACTGAATGGACCTTTGTCTTTCCTAAGTAAAGTATGTTGATAAAGAAATCAACTGGTGGCAGCGTGTGAAAAGGTGTTTGGTTTGCCTTCATGTGCTCTGTGTTTGGAAGAGAAACAAGGGCCATGAGGGGCAAACGTCACACTTAGCATATAAGCAGGAATCATGTGACAGCTTGCAGACAATATCTCAACCTCAGGTGTGTGCAAAGCCCTCAGTAGGCACGGGTATATCTGCTAATTCTGGATTCCAAAGAGACCCAGAAGCCCAATCTGTCAAGAAAGAAACTTTTACCTCTTAGGTGCTACCCTTGAGCACATGGTGTCAGAGTCCACCAACTGTAAAGGCTTCCCATCATCATGCTGACACAGACATGAACAGGAAAGAGAAGGTCTGGCCTAAACCAAATAACAAGCACCATTTCCTGTTCTCAAACAAAATCAAAGATGAGAAGTCAAAAATGTTCTATCCATTTCAGACAGATTTTGTCCCTTCACCTTGGCATTCCACAGTCAGGCTTCTATTAACAGCAAAGACCATGTGCAATGTGGCCTTGCTCTGTATTATTAGTTAAAGTGTGTCAAAAATAGACACAGAAAAAAGGGTCTATTGAACATTTTACTAGAGTTCTGCATCAAAAAACAGCCAAACCAATGGAGATTTTTTTTAATCATACAGATTTTATCTTTCAGCACTTGGCTTCTTTAAAACCACTTTGAATGTATAATTAAAAGGAAACCATTCCATTTATTTTTCTCAAATGGAAGTACAGCATTAAATATATTAATGCTCTGAAGGAGACTTATAAAATAAGATCCCATTAATTTATTTTTAATGCTCCCTATCACAATCTTTGAAAGTACTACAAAGTTTTATGAGCCTTTTATTGTTTTTGCCCCCACCTCATGGATACAGTAAATCACATACTAGGGAGTTGCCACTATCATACAACTATCAAGACAGGTGATAGTGTCACCTCTTTCAGTCTGACAAAGGAGAACCATGTCCTATGCTCTTCTTGTCTGTCCTCTGTCCACCATAACATTGTGGCACTTCCTCTACAATGCCAGCAACAGGACTGCAGAGAAAAGAACAACAGGAGCACTGAAATGGTAAAAAGGAAATGGGATCTAAATCTGACATAGGATGATTATGTAGTAGTTGCTGTAATTTGTATAAACACTATTTTAGAACATGATAGGCAAAAGGCAGCTAATGGGCACATGTGTCCCTGCCTCAGGGTCTTCCTCCAGAGGTCTCCCAACTTCCTTCTGGTGCCCCCTTTGACAAAAACTGTCTCTTATGTTGGCCAAAATAAAGTTATTTTGTATCCTCAAAAATCTTCAGGAGCAGAGGTTTTGCAGCTAAGAGACCCCTCCCTATTTCCACAAAAAACAGATAATAAAACAACACTGGAAGTGGCTATTCCAGTTTTGATTCTTCTCCCTTTTGGGGGTTTTTCAAGGTGGGTAGGGCCTAGAAAATTGGCCCTCAAGGTGCAAAGGGACAGAAAATTGGTCTCTGAACTTGCCCATCCCTACCTTAGAATAATTTCATGCCTTGAAAGCTAGCCAAGGACACAACTGTTCTACCATGTTGGTCAATGCGACAACAAAGTTCAATGTGAGATCAGCATCTTTGGGTACTTAGGATAGACCTTGTCTCATGTAATTTGGATTTCATTTACCAGAATCCTTAAGTCATGCTGCCCAGGTCTTTTTGATGTTTAACTCTAAAACATTTGGAGGACAAAAGATCCATAATCTTTTCCCTAGTGCACACCTATGTGTACTTCTCCACCTGTCATCCCTTTCTTATGTACTATGTCTGATGCCTCTGTAGAATTAGAGCACTCACCCAGATGATTTGTTCCACTGGATTATTATGTGTCATCAAGATGATTCTGACTAAGGAGAATCCTAGTAGTTCTGGAGGTACGTGAGTGATTCAAGGAGAGTTTACCATTGCCATTCCCCCCTCCCCCAGGTGAGTTTCTATGGTTAAGTGGGCATTTGAACCCAAGTCTGCTGAATCTTGGGAAAACACTCCATCTGCTAGACTGCACTGGCTCTCTAATGGAAAATTTGGCAAATATGAAATTGCTCTAGGATCTTCACAAACTTGTTCCATGGCACCTAGGTTTTAGAAAATGTTACTATAAGTGGTAGAAAATTCCTGCTAGGATCAGTCTGAAACATATCTTATTGAGCTCTCTGAGCCCTCTGGAAGACAAAGGCCCAGTTTGTATCTAGCTGGAGTCAGTTTGAAATCTGGCAAAGTTGTCTAGTTACTCCAGATTAGCTTTGGTCTACCCAACAAGATGTACTAGCCTAATTTTACCAAATGTGTTTGCCTCATACACAGTGTATGCATAATTTCTCATTCCTATATTTTATGATCATTAAGCCTCATCACACTCTACATCAAAGAAAGTTCTTTTCTGGTAAGTAGAAGAAATGTCATCTTAAATTATCTGCCCATCACTGCATGAGAAAGCAGCAGCTGCTATAAGCACAAACGTTCCAATTATCCAGGTTCCAAAAGAACTGCTTTCTCTGTCGGTACAGTATCCAACATGTCTTGAATTTTCACAAGTTACTCTGATTGTAAAAATCAGAGTTACCTGGATCAATGTAGGTATCCTGGTGGCCTAATGCTGTTACTGGATTGCGACTCCAATCAGCCCTGGAAAACAATTGTTATACAAAAGACATGGCCTACTAGGGATGGGCCATTCATTTTATCCTTGGGGTTATTGTTGTTTTTACAGAATTCTGGGAGTTCCAGCCCATAGATGCATATCTAGAGATACCTATGTTTCTGTAGTAATTGAAGCCACAGAAGATGATAGAGAGAGTGAGAAAAGCAAAGGGAAACAAGAGGGAGAAGGTTTGACAGTTACTGAAGAGGCGCGAGAAGTTGAATCTAAAGAAAAGGCGGGAAAGATAGAGATTTGTTTGGTAGAAGAGGGTAACGGGGAAGATGGGGTGGAGCAAAAGCTGACAGTGTGGGAAGAGGATATAAATGAAGAGGATGTGCGTTGGTTCAAGTCAGTCGTAGCAGATTATGAGAGAAAGAGGATAGAAGCGCGGAGAAGGGAAATTGAGAATATAAGAACCCAGGGACTTCTAAAGGATTTCCCAAACCTAAAGGTAGGGGGGCTCCTGCCGGAGCCTAAGCCACAGGAGATGAAACCGACACAATTTGTGACTAAAGAATGGACTTTGATTGTGGCGTCGCACGAGCTTGAATTGCCAAGGGAAGCTGTGATTGTTCATAAGCGGTTCTACGATCGTCCTGACGAAAGAGTCTGGATTCGCTACGCATGCTGTGGGATGATCTGCACCCTGAGAAGTACTTCTCCCCGGAGGCCAAATTACAGGGAATGGTGTGGGAGAATTCACTGCTGAGTCCATGGGACTATGGGAAACGTTTTGGTTCTGTTAGTTGTGGCTTGTTGCCTGAGTTGAAACTCTTTGATCCCATAAGTAACGTGCTGGAGGAAGTAAGTGATAATAAAAATGACAGTTTAAAAGTTATCAAGACATCTCCTTTCTTATTTCCCACGGAAACAGAAGAGTCGCCCAGGGAGAGTAAAGAACCCAATCACAAGAGTAAAAAAAAAAAAATCCTGCACAAATAGCATATCATTATTGCCTACCAATCATCTAGATAAGTGTTCTGGATTCCTCCTGGAAATACAAACAACTTGCAACATCATATTCTCACAACTAGTGCAGTTTTAAATTAGAGATGTGAAATATATTTGATAAAGTCTTCCTTTTTGTTGATTCAGGCTGTTTCGACTTGATAAGTAATATTTTTTCTTGTAAAGGTGCCCATATGCAGAGAAGAAATTGAACAATGTCTGACTGTTGACAGGAGATACAAACTTTTTCCACCGCTTCTAATCTTTAAAAAGTATACAGCAGCCATTATATTTGCCAAGTTGCATTATTAGGGTTAAAACAGTGTTTTCCACAAATAATTCTTTCTGAAGAGAGCAACATAGTACCTTGCCTTCTTGCAGGGAGAGAAGAATAATTGGGCACTTCTTCACCATCAACTGTGAGGAAGGATTTACGCCCCAAAATGTCATGAAGATAGGAGCACATAAAGAAGAGTGGCTGGGGACAATGGGAGCTCCACATCTCAAGTACACCAGTGCCACATCAAAATTTTCTGTATAATCTTTAGCAAAACGGTAAAAGAAGCCATAGAACGTACTATTGCTAAAGAAGAGTGGCTGGGGACAATGGGAGCTCCACATCTCAAGTACACCAGCGCCACATCAAAATATTCTGTATAATCTTTAAGAAGCCATAGAACATACTATTGGAGGCTGACTCCAAATTGCTGAGTTGGGAGAGGAGGTCTTGGTGGAGGAAGCTTCACTGGGCTGGGCCGCTTTTCCTTGCATTTTGTTTGAAGATTTTCATCATGCCTGTTGGGGAGGAGATAGGTTTGATACTGAAGAAGTATTGATCCATGTTTCTTTCAGAGAAATTCAGAAAGAAATCTGAATGAGTTCCAAAAAAGAGTCAAATCAGATCAAAAGCTTAATGACAGTGACATGCAAGTACGGTATATTATATAGGTATAATATAATACAA